CTCTCTCGTATATCGCTTTGCAATTATTTTTGTTTATGGTTTGGCTGATCTTGTGTCGGTCCAGTATTCCATTTTTCAACATCAAGTTGAATCATTCTTCCTCGAAAAATTAAAAGGGATGCTCATGCATGAGTACCCATTCGGGTGCAAATTCTCTCACGACGGCCATGTTCAAATTTACCAGTATGAAGATATGGATATAGTGTGCTTGAGTCGGTTGATAGAAAAATAATCTTTTGTTGTGGTTGGTTCAATAGTGCATGGCTTTACAGCCTCAACATGCTAGTTGTTGTGCTCCTCTTGGTTTCAATTTGACAGAGCAATGTTTGCACTGACAGTAAGTACCGATACCAACATCTACTTCGTCAAAATCAACACATGCTTTAGATTTTTTGCCCTTTCCTTTTTTTTCTTGAATTCATCTAAATTGTCAATGTGTTCATCCATTTCATTCGGGTCTTCCTCAAGCTCCGCGGACTCGGCCGCACTTGCACTTCATAGCTCTTCATCTCTAAGAGAAGACAATTTTTTTTGCGTCATTCTCAATTTCAACTGCATTGTTGATATCCACTGGGCTAGCAGAATATCCAGTCGATGTAATGCTTTGTGAAGATATTTCTTGGGGAGGCGAAGTCGTCATATTATACTTTATGTAGATTGTACTCTGTAGCCACATACAAAAAGTAAATAAGCTTGAGATGTTTTTTTTTCATCAATTAAAAGTAAAACAATAAGATCTTAGCAATCAAAACCATGAGCAACTTTTTATGTTCGCTTGATGAACTAAACAACAATAAACTTATTGAACCATTTTCCCCTTAATTGCATTTCATTCTCAATAGAAATATCATAAGTCATAGCTTGTCCAGGCCATTCAGTTCATATCGAATAATAAGAATAAACAAAGCTTGACTTTAAATAACCACATTTTTATTTAGTCATTCTACCAAACACCTCGTGTACAACATTCGATTTTGACTTATGTATAACAGTTACAGACAAGTTTCCTATCAAACCCAAATCACGAATCTAAGAATTTTAATAGAAAGACGCGGAAACTTACATCCATGGAGCTTTCACAGTGAGAAGTTCGTCTCACCGATTGTGAGCTGCTTCTGGAACGAAGAGATGCGGCGTGGAGTTGCAGAGCTGAGCACCAGTTGCGAGGATTTTTTCGGTAGTAACGAGGCTAAACACCACCGACGAATTTATCGGTTTGAGCACCGATGATGACTGGCGAAGAGTACAGACGGAGACGCAAACATGCTGAAGAATTGATGGCAGACTCGCAAACATGCTGAAGAATTGTTGGCAGGCTCACAAACATGCTGAAGAATTGATGAATGCAAATGTGGATTATGGTCTCGGTTTTTTGCAATGAAATTAGATTGAAAAATGTGGTAAAGAAATTATTTATTATGAAATGACCAAATACACCTCCAATAATAGACAAGACAACTATGCACTAGGGTTATTTATGTAAATTCATGTGTATATCAAGCCGCTTTACAAGCCGATCGATGTTAACAAAAATAGGGTTTGAGATAAGGTCGACAGTGGACTCGATCTGCTCGAGCTCGAGTCGAGCTTTGATTTGAGAGCTCGCGAGCTACTCGACTCTTATGACGATTGCGAAGGTAAAGGTGTTCGGTTTTATTATTTTTGTTATGAGGTGGTGAAGAACGAAAGTTCTAATGTCTCATCCAAGCGATAAACACTAAAGGTGAGGTAAAGTAAAGAGTCCAACCAAACTGCAATTTCAAATCTAAAATGTCTTTCGAACATTAGTTCCTCCAAAAATCCAAATTTGCATTTGATGTCAAATATGCGTCACAAGTTTCTCTAACAGTTATTTTGTCAATTGTTCTGAAACGTCGTTTTCCACAACAAATATCTGATTGTCATTCTGTGAACTTTTCTAAAACATCATTTCCCACAGTAGATATTTGTTGTGTAAGTTATCACAACAGGGCCCCCAGATCCCTTTACAATTGACAACGCATGATTAACATGTTGATTTTCCAAAACGTCTTCTCTACATCTTCACTTAAAAAATTCTTGCTCAACCTAAATTTTATGTACAAATTCAAAAAATAGAATTCCTCAATCTGGATCGAAGATATCTTCTCATGCCTCAAGGTTGGCCAATCCTAATATCCTAGCCACGAAACAAGTTTCGACTGCCACATTTTTGTATTGCCATTCGTCGGTTTATTTTGGCAAATTCACTAGCCTCCTCCAAGGCTGCAAACTTGTCGGCCCCAAAGAAAGTTTATTCTTTTGATGCAATGGAGATGCGAAATCTCAACCCACTCATGTTTATTTTGGCAAATTCACTAGCCTCCTCCAAGGCTGCAAACTTGTCGGCCCCAAAGAAAGTTTACTCTTTTGATGCAATGGAGACGCGAAATCTCAACCCACTCATGTTCATTTCTTCAAATGTCCAACCCTCATGCTATCTTCAAATTGTTATGATTAAGTTATAGTACAATACACGGGTGACCAAATCTAAATGACGTTATAGGAGGATGAACTATAAAATGAAATGGATGGAGAAGGATAAATGTGAGATGTAGGCGGGGATGAGCCATGGGGCAGAACTAAAGGAATATTAAAAAGGATGAAAAACTGAGATGAAATTAAGACTTAATGAGATTGAAGAAATGGTCAAAACATAATCATACCAGGTGATAATGTTAGTGTTTTGACCAACTGGTTGTATTAGCGATTTATAAAAATACAAGCAGCCTCCGGCACAATCGACCCACTATAGTATAGTGTTATTGATGTTTTTATTATGATTTATATCATGATTTATATAGTAGGTGAGCTAATAGAATGTGTTTGATGTGAAGCTGAAGTATAAACCAAACACAACACTAAATATGAAGGAAATAGGGAAGTAAATTTTCAAGATCTATTTACAACAATTTTTTTTTTTTTTTTTTTTTCCATCATTGGTAGGGGCAGACAAAAATCATGTCAAACACAATATATATAGACATGCTAAAAACCATAACTTTTAGAACTTACTAAAATTGATTTTATTCCATCACTAAGGGTAGTCAAAAAGAGTTAGAGATGTCTATACGTAACCATGCTAAATACCAAAATTTTAAATATCTATTCCACGGTAGATGTTACATAATCTTAAGGCTCCATGAACATTAGAAACCTCCATTACTTAATTTGCAACTCATGGTTGCACACCTCACAATATCTGTTACTTAGAGACAAAACAACCTAAAACCAGGTTAAAAGAAAACCCAACTCATCAACTTCAATATTTTTGGCTAAATCGTAAAGAACTAAAATCAAAGGAGACAAAACTTAACTCACAAAGAGGATCAAGAATGCAAATAAGATCGAGATTCCGGCGATTATGATCTGGTTTAGTTTGATTTTTAACACATAATTGTTCTGGAACTCACAGACACCGTCTCTGAAAATTCACAGAATAGGTGTTCAGAAAAGTGTCAATTTACAATTACGAAAAATATAATTTATCGTTTAATGTTAAAAGCTCTATCCGTAAATAATAAAATGTTAATTGATTATTCACCTAGACATGACCAAATCTGCTTCCGGGCCCCATTCTAGGTCGGAACCGTCGGTTCCGGGCCAAGGGTTGACTGACGTTGAACCAGTGGAACATATGCACGAGTGGGTTCAGTTTTAGGTTGGTTTGGTTCATTAAATAAAAATCAAAAAACAAAAACAAAAAAGGGTCGAACCGTCGGTTCCCATTTCGGTTGAAAACCAGCCCGACAGTCCAAAAAGTACATATACAAAGTCCGGAACCAACCAGATCAAACCACATGCCCTGTTTAGGCCCATTGAGCATGGGCCTGTTCGGCCCGTAGTCATGTTTTATTCACTGACATGGACTAAAACTAAGGGAAAATTCTATTGTAGGACTTGATTTTTTTTTTTTAATTATGTCACAATAAGGTCTGAATTTATAACTTTTTCATATGAATGTTTCAATTTTAAGTTATCTCAATATAAAGCCTACTTTTACATTCCACTTTTCAATTTAAGACTCCAAATCAATTTGTATATTGATATAATTATGTAAACAACTATATTATTTTTTAAGAAAAAAACTTATTTTTTAAGTACTTATAATGTAAAATATTAGTTATATTTAATAAACATATCTAATAAGATAATTATTTCATAATCTACATTTATGCAAAAGGTTAATAAAATTTATTTTTGATTAAAAAATAAATTTTAAACTCAATATTTGATAACATTAAAATATAAACTATTTTAAAAAATAATTTTATTTTTTCAAATAAACTTTTAGAAAATATTATTTGTGAATAAAATTTATATTTTGAAAAAAGTTAAAAATATATAAAATTAATACCTGAAAAATTCTATTGTAGGTAGTTTTATTCACAAATAATATTTTCTATAAGTTTATTTACAAAAATAAAACTATTTTTTTAAATAGTTTATATTTTAATATTATCACATATTTAGGTTAAAATTAAATTAATATTTATTTTTAACTTTTAAAATAAATAAATATAAATTATGAAACGATTATCTTATTAGATGATTTTACTAAAGATATTTAATATTTTCCATTATAAGTACTTAAAAAATAAATTCTTATAAAAGAATTGTTGTTTAAATAATTTTATTAAAATACAAAGTGATTTGTAGTTTTAAATTGAAAAATAGAATTTAAAGTAGGCCTCACATTGAGAATAATTTAAAATTAAAACCTTCAAATGAATTTGTTAAAAATTCAGGTGTTATTGTGACATAATAACAAAAAGACGAGCCATACAAAAATTTCCTTCTAATAGCTATTGTTGCTGAAAAGTAATTGCGAATTCAGTTGGGGCCAAAGTGTATTAAGCTAAAACTTTCTTATTTTCTTATCAGGCCCCCTCATTGCAACTGCAGATGTTTTGGTTTTCTATTAACAGTGTATTTGACAAGTACTTCAATATTTTTAGCTTGGGTTGAGATTTCTGCATAACATGGCCGGCGGCAACCCTCCCAAACCCCCTCCATCCTCCTCCTCCGCCCACACCCACCATCGGAACTCCGGCTGGGGCTCCTCCGCCGATAAACCCTCCGCCACCACAAAATCCAAACCTTCCCCTACCTCCGCCACCGCGACTACCCCCAACAATAAAGATACCAAAAATAACCCCCCTCACGCCCAACCCCGGCCCCGGCCGGAGAACCCATCCCCCAGGCCTGAAAATCCGAATGCCGTACACGGGCCGAGGCCCGTTTTCCCTATAAACGATCCGCTCCCGGCCCCATCCTACGGGTTCCACATGCTCGATCGCCGTAGCATAGTCCTCGCAGATGGATCCGCGAGATCTTACTTTGCTTTACCCCCAGATTATGAGAATCATGCGCTAGCACATATGCATCGGCCTGGTTTACTGCCCGATTTCATGGGCCGTCGTGAATTCGGGCTGGAAAGGCCTCCCTTACCAATGAGCCCTGGGTTTGTGGGTCCTGATGCTAGGGTCCGGAATCCAGAGTATTGGGCATCGGGCACCGGTAATCCTTTAAAGCGGAAGTTTGGGGAGGATGAGAGGGGAGGGAGGGATGATGGGTATGAGAGGGTAAGGCAACAGCTGTTGCAATATGGAAATGCAAATGGGGCTGGCCCGAGTACTGGGTATAATTTAGGGAGAGGCGAGGAGATTAGGGCCTCTAAGAATATGCGGGTTCTAGATGGAAGTTCAACTAAGCTTAAGCATGGTGAAGTGGATCAGAATGCGTTAAAGAAGGCGTTCTTACATTTTGTGAAATTGGTCTTTGAGAGTGGGAATCAGAGAAAGAATTATTTGGCGGACGGGAAACAAGGACCTGTGCCATGTCTAGCTTGTGGCAGGTCTGATAATTCGATTCCAACTTTGTCTCTTTTGATGTTTGTGGTAAATTAATCTCTCTGTTTTTGCTGTGATTGTTTGTGTGTGTGTGTTCATCATGTGTTCATATCTTCATACATACTTTTTGATACCCAGCAGGCAATGAGATCCTGGGCATTATGTGGAAATCGTTTCTGATGGTAGTTAAGCGAAAAAGCAGTTCTTATGTGCATAATGTGCATAGAAACTGTATCTTTCTGATTTGACTGCTTGCATAATAAATTGCTAGTTGTATTTGAACATACAGGGAATGATGCTGTTAGACAAACACCTCATCACCACACTCTAAATTGAAATACTTCCTTTTCATGGTTAACAAAAGTTCCTTTTGTAGAACAATATTACTCGGATCACAATTTTCCATGATTCATTGTTTCTTAGATATTATGCCGTATTAAAGATGGATCCTCGATCTTGTGTTATTGTGTTGACTTTGGTGCTTATGCTTCTGGTTTGGTGTATGGATAACTGACCCTAGTGATAGTTTTTTGTTATTGTTTGTACCGAAATTGATATAAGTAACCCTCAACTTGGGGATTAATTGTTGGGGTGACTTGCCCTGACTAGTAGTGTCATTAAGGTCAAAAAGTTTTGTCTGCTTTATAGCATATATTGAGAACCATTATTTCCTTATGCTCCTAATAGATTTCTAAGTGTGAGGCCATGATGCAGCAGTAGCGTATGAAGCTACCATGACTTTTTATGGGTTAGCCATGTAGAAATTATTGCCGTGGAATGCCACACCCAATCAAGTTTTTAGTAGTTGTCTGTGTTCAACTGTGATGCCATCATTGTAGCATTGTATGATTTGAAGTGTTACACATTCATTTTTCGTGTGTCATGTCTTACTGTCTTATTACTCATTTTGGTTGATAGATGCCTTAATTTTTTTACCATAGGGCATAGGCTACAAAGTTACACTTTAGATTACTTGTTGACGAGCATGGCTGGTAGACTTGGATGGCCCTTGCACAACGGATTTGTGAAAAGTCGATCCGATTATTCTGAAATATGGCAGATTCTGTTATGTTTCTTGATCTTTTATGTTCTAGTGTGGGTACTGAAACATCATACAAGAGTCCATAACTTCAAGGTTTTAGGTAAATCTTGAAACAAAGGGCTCACTACTGTACAAAAGTAGGCTCTGTATGTTGCTTTTGATGTACGGAGCTCTCATTCCCCCATCCCGAAATACATCGACCATTACTTTTGGTATTAACTATGGGGTGTGATGCTCTTCCGGTTTCACTTTTCATTTTGATGTTCCTAATCTTATCCAGTAATTTAGGTACCTTGGTTTTGGGATTTAAATATTATTGTGACCTTGCACTAATGTTATGCCTTTATGGTTGGTGTTTCAGTTCGAATGCTGTCCAGGAAGATTGCAACCCATTTTTATGTTCAAAATCGATGATTTTTGGAATGAGTATGCATAGGGTTTAGGAATGTCTCAATTTATTTATTAAAACCCTTCTCAGTCCAAATTGAGTACGATTTACTCTTGTTATTCTCAGGTGTTCTCTTACATGGGGTTTCAATATCGGTTTTGTTTAGTGGTTGCTGGTACTTTAGCCATTAGCTTAGCTCTTTCCTATTCATGGATGAGTGTACTTTGAATTATTTGTTCCGGATGGCTTCTTCATCCGAGTTAACCTGCAAAGCCTTTTGGTTTTGCAACATGTGAATCTCTCCAGATGATATTTGTTTCTATATATTCATCACTTTATGTAACTTGGAATCGATTGGTTTTCTAAGTATCCCACTTTTGACACTTCGGGTGTGATTGGATATAAACTAGATGATGTAGGGAAGCGTACGAGTGGGAAAGATAAACGAGATACTCTCTTGATAAATCTCACAAAACTCACGATATCTTCTAATCTTATTTCATTTCAATCATCAACAACAACAACATACCCATATATTCCTAACTGGTTGGGGTCTGGGGGGGTCAGTTGTACGCAGACCTTACCCTTGTATAATAATTATGGAGGTTGTTTCCGTAGCGACTCAAGGTGCATTGCGTCGTTTGATATATTTTTTTTCTAGAAACTTCACTAATAGAAGAAACACTAGAATTTAATTGAGTCATTCTGATCTAGTCCATTATTAACACTATGCCAGGAGAATTGTCAACAATGACTCTTCCAGCTCCATTTGCAATGAACAAAATTTCATTTCATTTCAATCATCAACTGAATAAAAACAATAGAGGAGGAGTCCTTTAAATAAAGCTCATAAAACCCTAATACTAACTTGTCCAACAAGACAAGAATCCTAACAATACTAACTTATCTAACAAGACAAGAATCCTGACAAAGTAATAAATAAATAAGTTTCTTAACAAATCCATAATACCACTAATAATAATAATAATAATAATAATAATGATAATAATAATAATAATAATAATAATAATAATAATAATAATAATAATAAAGAGAGAAACAAATAATTAGATTAAAGATTCTAAACATCCTTATCTCCATCGTTCTCCCCCTGTCGAAAAGGATTCACCCTCGAATCCGAAGCAATCTCGTCTTCAACTGCTCCAAAATCCCGGGCCAATTTGACGAGCCATGAACTTGGTATACTCACAAACAAAAAATCTATGACAACAGCTCTCCACTTTGTCCTTTTTGGGCACACTATGCGAGTTATCAGACACATATGCTTGTTGAATAAAAGACTATGAAAATTCATCTTCCAATTCACTGAAAACATCCATCCCAGGCACAACCTCTAGCCTCACAGATGATTCTACAACCACATGGTACTCGTACTCCATCGACGCCACAGGTGGCTCCTCGTAAAAAACGGGCCGAGCGTCGTACAATGGCCCGTCGTACAATCGGACCGCACCTAGGGTTTCCTCGTCGTCGCGGTCGCCGCCATGTACGAAACTACCTCCTGCCCGCTGCTACTCGCGAACTCGGGGCTGACCTGGGGTTTCGTCTCCTCGCCATGGTGGTCGATCTGCCAACGGGTTAGCCGACCAGGTAAAGTCGCCATCCTCGATGCCGTTCAGAGGTGGCGGGGACCGCTGCCGGGGCGCTCCGACATGGCTGCGTCCCACACAACCGCCTCTATCTCCCCCGCGAAAGCCACGGCCCACAGCCCCATCGCGGTTCGTTTGCAATTCCGAAACAACCACGTTGTTAAGCGTCAAATGCAAATCCTCGATCCTCGTCGAAAGATCGACAAACCAATCCGTGAAATGCACGTCCAACTCTTAAAATCGGTAGTCAATCTGTTGAAACCGATCGTTGAAGGTTGCATCACGTTGTTTGATTGCGGCATCTTGTCGTCCCGGAGACATCGCGAATCGTACTGACTGCTGATACCAACTGATGTAGGGAAGCGTACGAGTGGGAAAGATAAATGAGATACTCTCTCGATAAAACTCACACAACTGATGTAGGGAAGCGTACGAGTGGGAAGGATAAAACGAGTAAACGAGATACTCTCTCGTAAAACAGCAAAACTCACAATCAATTCATCTTTTCTTTTCATGTAATAATCAACTATTCAATAACAAAGCAGAAGAGCCCTTTAAATAAGGCTCCTAACCCTAGACCCTAACTTGTCCAACAAGACAATATCTCTTACTAAATATTAAACAATAATAAAATTCCTAACTTATTCTCTAAGACACCTATTAAATAATAATAACAATAATAATAATAATAATAATAATAATAATAATAATAATAATAATAATGATAATAGTAATAATAGATACTAATCTACACCATTCTCCCTTAGTTTGGAAGGGTTCGTCCTCGAAGCCGATGCACTCCCGTGGCCGGTGTGTGGTGTCGAACTCATGGTAGAAAATCCCGTTGTTTTCCCCGGTCGAACACGAAGGATGAATGTCGTCCAACAATCTCGATGGTAAACATAATCATGGGCAACGATTGAATTGCTGCAAAGGCACATGTACACGACTCCATATGCATAACCCACATAACGGAATTAACACCAAACATAACACATCGTTCGCCGCACTCAAATCCATAACTATGGCCAAGCATCCCGTTGTTGAGAGATTTCGGGATAGACAATCAGAAAATGGCCCACCAGTTATTCAGCCTCTTTCGGCTCCGAAAAACCATCGTTGGCCAAGATACTCCAAAAATCAGGTTTGAACAACATCCCCATAAAATGCTCAACTTCTGCGACGTCCCATGCGGGATTGCTGCAAAGATATGTCTCCGTCACCGGAGGCTCGTCATCGAAAATAGGAGGACCGTCGTACAATGGCCCGTCAACTTGCTCCCTGTCGAATTCAGGGATTTCAACGCGAAACGGACCCTTCCATTGACCATATTCGCGATCAAATCCCTAATCGCGTCGGGCAAGATATCCGCCAACGAAGGCTGCCTCCTCGCGCCAGCCCATGTCGCTGCGTTGATCGTCGCCGTTCACGAAGCCGTTCAGAGGTGGCGGGGACCGCTGCCGTGGCGCCCCGACATGGCAAAGTCCCCCACAACCGCCTCTGTCTCCCCCGCGAAAGCCACAGCCCACAACCCTATCGCGGTTCGTTTGCAATTCTGAAACAACCACGTTGTTAAGCATCAAATGCAAATTCTCGATCCCCGTCGAAAGATCGACAAACCAATCTGTGAAACGCACATCCAACTCTTGAAATCGGTAGTCAATCTGTTGAAACCGATCGCCGAAGGTTGCATCATGATATTTGTTTGCGGCATCTTGTCGTCTCAGCGACATTGCGAATCGTACTGACTGCTGATACCAACTGATGTAGGAAAGCGTACGAGTGAGAAAGATAAACGAGATACTCTCTCGATAAAACTCACAAAACTCACGATATTCTAATCTTATTTCATTTCAATCATCAACTGAATAAAAACAATAGAGAAGTCCGTTAAATAAAGCTCCTAAAACCCTAATACTAACTTGTCCAACAAGACAATCCTAACAATACTAACTTGTCTAACAAGACAAGAATCCTGACAAAGTAATAAATAAATAAGTTTCTTAACAAATCTATAATAATAACAATAATAATAGTAATAATTAAGAGGGAAACAAATAATTAGATTAAAGATTCTAAACATCCTTATCTCCATCACTAGACTAGTAAAAAACCAATCAAAACTCAAATTTAACTCAACTTTTAACTCAACCACACTATCCTCAATATTATCAATATAATTAAATAATATTAATCACTCATTTTTACACTTAATATCAACTTTAATTCACTATTTATGTACTCAAATAATTTTAACTAACCATCACTTTCAATCATTTTTCTCCTACTTTACATCAAATCAACTTAAATTATTTTATTCTAAATATTATTTTAATTTAAACTTATATTCCCACTAACAACTAACCATACACCTTTTTCAAAAATAAATATGGTTAACAAAAAGACCAATAAAAACCAGTCAAATTCTGAACGACATAGATCTGCTATAATGTTGCTTTTGTTTTTCTGTGATGTATTTTTATATGAATGTTGAATGGTTTTTTTTATTTAAATTTCCATTTCTTAGTTATTTTTATGTTAATTGTTCCATATTAGTTTGTTGTTTTCATGTTATTTAAATGATGTTCTCAACCTATATTTGAAATCATGCTTAAACTCGTTCATTGTTTACTTTAATTTACTTCAACAATCATTTTTCGTATAGTATTTAAGTCATTGCTTTTACAATATGCAGGTATAAAACCACATCATTCGATTTCACAATTCTTTTATTTAGAGTCAACAACATATTTTATGGAGCTTCACATTCATTACAAATTTATTTCTTCATTGTACCAATATTATTAGACAGCCTAACATCCTGCGGGTGGTGGGTAATTCTGGAAAATATTTTTTAGTTCTTGACCTCTACAACTTTCAAAGGGGCCATAATGTTATTGAAATTTGTTGAAAAGTTGGTTTTCAACATTTTTGTCTTGTCTGATATTTTTCTTCTTACTTTTTGTTTCTCTATTAATGCAGATGATTATTTATTATATTTCCCAACTCTTTGTTATGTAATCTTCTGAAGCTCACAGGGTTTGGGAATGTAGTAGTAGGACCACCCTTCATATGCCTGAGCTTATATAGGATGTTGTAATACAGAAGTTTTGGAAACTTGTCTGACTTATTTTGTTGAGTGTAACTTTTGTCTTATATGCTTCTTAGGAAAATCAGATTCTACGTATGAAGATAGTGTATAACGTATTAGAGGTAGGCCCAAATAAACCAAACGTTGGATTATAAAATAATTGGAATATGAAATATTACTGACAATGCGAAGCGAAAGGTAAATATGGGAAGTTTTTCATCTGATGACCAAAAAGTCAAAAAACGGCATTCTATTTATATGCCTTAAATGGACAATTGAGGGGATCTATTTCCTATTGAACTCTGTCTTATTAGTGCTTCAAAATAGCATAGTAGGTGTTTCTTTTACTTTTCTGTGTCGACTGATTTATATACAGATTGTGTTTGCACTTCCACTGGTGACTCTACATATAGTAAGTGAATAATTTAATTTTGGTTTTGAATTTTTACTTTCATCTAAACGTACCAATGGGGAGTTCTGGAGCTATTTGTGGTGTTACCTTATAGGTGTGCCTGGTGACCTCTGCATTCTAATTATCTTATATAGATCAATTTTTCTGCAATGTTGACGCTACCATATAATACTTCTTCGATGTGTCTCAACTTTGACTGGTTTATCTTTTTCAAATTATGTGGCTAGATAAGAAATTAAAGATGAGTTATTACTTGATTAAATCTTAGTATATTTTCTAGATTTCTGCGCTGCTAATTATATGCTGTTGTTACATTTTAACTGTGTGGTTGAGTTTTATATCATGAATCTTTACTCTTAAGTTGCAGCAGTTGAATTCCTTGGTATTTGGACTGTTCTGTTCCGTTGAGAGTAAATAAATTTCTTCCTGATAGTTCTGAGTACCATTTATCAAATTCCTATTCTGACTTAAGTCCATTTTTCCCTGGTTAAATATATGGATTTTCTTCAGAAGTCATTAATATAATTGAAATTAGGCTTTCAGCTTGGTCTTTGCCATTTGAAAGTCAAATCTTTCTTGCATTTAACATATAATTAGTTACTCTTTTGTTCAGAAAAGGGAAGTATAAATGTAATCCACCCAAATATATCAGGTCCTTCTAAATCAGACACCCTGACATCTATTTTTGCATAAAAGACTTGGTGTCTTGTGTCTGAGACTGCTACACGGTTTTGGCATGCAAAATACAGGTCTTCAAAGGACTTTCCCCATACACACAGTCTTATCATGCATGCATACAGCTCGGAAAATGAGGCGACACTCGTGGATCACCTGGCCTTTCACAAGGCTTTATGCATTCTAATGGGCTGGAACTACACAATTCCTCCCGATAACTCGAGAGACTATCAGAACCTTTCTCCCAACCAAGCAGAAGCTAATCGGGATGACCTGATTTTGTGGCCACCAACTGTTTTGATTCACAATACTATTACTGGAAAAGGTAGAGACGGGCGTCTGGAAGGTATAGGGAACAAGGCGATGGATAGTATTCTTAGAGGTATCACACACTCCTCAATTATCCTTCTTTTATGCTGGTTTGTGAGTGGCATTAGAGCTGGTGGTTGCTTATCTGTTCGTGGCTGGATTAGTGATGCAATTTTGTGCCGTTCTATAGCATTTTCTGATGCTATTGGTATTAGCATGACCTTACCGTATTGATATCTTAACTATAAATATAGTATCCACTGCTACTTACTCTTTGAAGTCGGGAAAGTCGGACGAATTGATAGTCAATAACACACAAAAATGGTAAAGTAAAAATGAAACTGAGATTTAGTAAATGATAGTCTGAAATAGTGAACGTCACAAGACTTGGGGAAAAATCCCCATCAAACAAAGTCCGAAAGGCTGAATATGAAAAGTATATCTCTTCTTGCCTCCTTAATGTTCACCCCAAACCCTTTATTTTTATTATAATATTCCCATCTCTGTGCCCCTAATTTAGTCAGTGAAATGGTAATATGTTTCCAGACAAATATTTCCCCAAGATGTCAATCAATTGTCCTCCATAGATCAGATCTCTCTAACCATTAGCTATATATTACTTGAATACTAATTATGTTCCTTATTATCTTTATTCAGTGGAGGTAGGGGGGAATAATGGTCCCCAGCCTAGCCTCGGATCCACCAAGGTAATTAAAAAAAAGGAAATTTATAAAGATTGGACTTTCATCGGTGGCCAAGGTATCGTGTGGAGGGTTGCAGATTGCATGGGAACTGCAATAACTTCAGTTGCATGGGTTTAAGTTTTCACCTCAATTTCACACGTGTGTGGAATGTATGATGAAAACACCTGTAACTACACAGCAGTTAGATGTTGGATGAATTTGTTAGTTTTAGTTTTCTATGAACCTAGTTGTCAGCTAATTGAAGGGAAATATAGTACAATCTAACCACCTATCGATGCCAGTATGAAACTGCCTTTTGCCTTGGATGCAGTGTTACACTTTGTGGACCATTTTCTTGAGATTAATGATATATGGTCTCTATTTGACTGGAAGCACTAGCTTAAGTGTTCAACCTCTTGAGCATTTGTTTAGATTTACATTTTTATATTAGGATTTTGTCCCTTTCTGATTGTTGAGGATCTCATCAGCACCTGGAGACCATATTCTGGCATCAGATTTGTTGGATTACAGATTTGATTGTTTTTTTTTTTCTTTTTTTCTTTTTTTTTTTTTGCTTGAGTACGCTTGAACCATTATATTATCGTGGTCTTGTGTTTTAACGTGTACAGTTTTGTGGAGATTACTGATATATTTTGTTCGAATTCGGACCCTTGCCTCTAGCCGACAACAAGCACTAGCTGAAAAGTTAGTCTCTGAGCATTTGTTTAGAATTAGATATTTGGATTAGGGTTTTGTCCTTTTCTAATTGTTGAGGAGCTTATCAGCACCTGGAGACCATATCCGGCATCAGATATGTTGTGTTACAGATTCGATAATTTTGCTCGATTCTGAGTGCTTGGTCCATAATATTATCATCTTTTATACTCATTAGTGGTTATAATTCGTTTCTTAATGACGCTTCACCTATGACCGATAGGTCATGGGTTCGAGTCACCGAGGAGGAGAAGTAGGAACACTATTGATCCTCATTTTTTTTTTTTTTTAAAAAAAAAAAAGAAAAAGTCTGTTTCTTAATTGCATTACTCTCGCAGTTTGATAGCTGTAGCATCTTAATTTGCCAGATTGGTGTCTTTGGTAAAGGATAGTTTTTCCTATCCAATTGGCCGGCCTTATTTTGCAGCTGGGACTAAGTTGTAGGGCCTGTTGTGCTTTTCCGCCCAAATATGTATTTAACACTTTAGTTAGCTTAAGCAGTAATAGTTCTTTTTCGGGTTTCTTTTAAGTGTCAGAAAGCCGCCTTCACAATTTATTGCGAACACGATGAAAGTAGTTTGTCGATTTCATTTCCAAAAAAAGAAAACAATATTGTGGATTTTTGGTTTTGCTGAATTTGATGTGTGCAATATCTATGTTTAGATCTCGGATTCAGTAGTGGCAAGTCAATGTCCTTGTACTCGAGAGAAGGCCATATGGGGATGCACACTGTGAAGTTCTCGGCGGACGAGTCGGGCCTGAAGGAGGCCTTGAGGCTATCCGATTATTTCGAGAGAGAAAAACGTGGGTTGAAGGGGTGGGCCCATGCTCAGCCCTCAGGGCCCGGTAATTCTAAGGATGATGAGAACAACCCGAACCTTATAAAGTTAGACCCAAAGACGGGTGAGAAAAGGAGAGTATTTTACGGTCACCTGGCGACCGTTGCTGATCTGGACAAGGTTACATACGAGATCAAGAAGAAGGTCTCGATCATGAGCTTATGCGAATTTCGAAAATCTAAATAAATATTTTCTTATTTTATTTTCTTCAATACATTATGGTGTGTTTTGACTTGGATGTGTTATTGTGGAGCTAACAGAAAGCAGTAGTTTGCTTCTGTAGTCATCATAAGTTAAAAGCAAAGACCCCCCAATTGAACACATTTGTTTTTTCTTTCTTCTTTCCTTTTGTCTTTTTGGTTCAAGTAATTTGTGTGTTGACTGGTGACTAGCTTCATCTTTTACATGTTCACTAGAATTTATTATTACTACCATCAATAATGCATTAAGAATTTTAATTTAAATTCTTAATGCATTTGTAGATATGAAAGATTTTTTTATTGCCAACTGGCTGTGGAATGGTATGGCTTTGGAGAGGATAAGGCTGTGTGTTGTCTTTATTTGTTTAGTTTTTGTTATTTTTCCTTTTTTTT